TACAGAGTGCTGTCCTCTGAAGATGCCGGCCGCAGAGACTGGCGAAACGTCAGGAAGAACAACCTTCAGAACACGGCCAAAGAGCCCGAAAAACCCACAACAACCAAAAGCCATGTTGTTACATACTATGGCAGCCATGACTTGCAGTGCATGACAGATGTAGCAGAGTAAGGATGTTCAGCAAATGGGGACTGGGTTTTCAACTGTGGCATGGCCTTCTGATATTTTCTCTGGTTATTGCCCATTAGCTCTATGATGATAAGTGGGATGGCTGTCCATAGGCCCTGAAATCTTATCTTTGCAAGAGTTCTTGTTTGTTTTATTTTGTTTTGTTTTGGAGCCGTTACCTGTAAATTTTGAATCAGGTTCTGGCTTCACACAGTCCTGTTCCTTTTGCTTTCCTCTCATCCTTGTCCTTCACAATCTGGGACAAGAAAGAGTATGGTCAGAAGAACCCCCTCTCAAAGGGAGGCTTGACCTTCAGGGGAGCAATTTATGAGAGGCCTAAGGACACTAGGTTCTGCATCCCTTAAAATGGAACATATTTGGCACTTGAGTTACAAAAGCAATAAAAGACATCCTTGCCTGGAATGAGCTTGTTGTCCAAAGTCAACAACAGATAAGACAACAGAGGGAATGGAAGGAAAAAGGACTGCCAGGGTCCCATGAGGTGGTTTTTCTGATGGAACTGCTCTCCCTCCCCCCCCCCAGAAAAAAATAACAGATCCAGACCTGGCTCTGGGGGGCTTGAAAGGCCCTCCTGAACTGCTTTCCAGAGGTACAAAGGGCTGTAGGGGGATAGGATGAGACCAAGATTCCAGCCACTAATGGTCATCTGCAGTCCAGTGGTGGCAAGGGGTGAATATGAGCCCATGTAGTTATACATACAGTACTTAAGATGGGAATTGAGGGTTAAATCCCATGTGGAAGGTGGGGGGCAAAGCTGTTCCTCATGAATTCCTTTCAGACAGGGAGTTTTGAGTCCTCTTTGTTGAAAAATAAAGAAAAGACATTTCTGCATATTTCAGAAATGTCTAATACTGCTAATAAAACTGTTTCCAACCATTAAGGGGAAAAACATGTCTGGTTCCTGTCATCAGAGCTCTGAGGGAAAGAAATAACATTTTATGCTGTGTTTAAATCTACAAATGGTCTATGTATCTTAAATTGCATTTTGAAAAGATGAAAGGTAAGGAATGTGCCATTTAATCTATTACGGGTTGAAGAGAGACCTAGGCATCCTCCTCTTGAAATGACACTTTAACAAGGGAGACAGAGAATAGACAAAAGGCATAAGCACCGGTAGAAAAACAAGAGAGATCTGCCTTTTCCTGTTAGCTCAGCTTATATTTATCCTTATATTCATCCTTCCTTTATTTTGTTGCTTGAAAACAAGGTAGCATCACTCAGGCCAAGATGCACAGCACCCAAACAAGGTGTGCACCAGATCTGTGCATAGCTCTTCCCACCCTGACCATAAAACTACAATGATAACAAATGAATATTGTGCCCTTTATGAATTCCACAAGCACTGGCTTATGCAGCTATCATCCTCTGCCTAATGAGAGTTTCTGCTGCCAGGGTGGGTGCCAGGTTACATTCTTCCCTCAGTTGTGATGCAACCGTGACAATGAACTATAGCAGCACGCAGAAATTTCTGGCAGAATTTGGCAGCTTCTGCAGTGAGTAGAACAACCTTTTAATGGGATCTTTGCCTTTCCCTTCTTACAAAGTTAATTTTGTGGCTCATTGTGGATCTCACGATCAGATGAGGTTGTAAAAGTGGACCTAGCATTGTAATAAAAATTCTTGGAAAAAAGACACCTCTGATTTTTGAATGTGTGCTTCTATACCCACAATTCAGAAATCTAGGAAATGGCCCAATTTTGCTGCATAATATTGTACCCATGTTGCCAGCAGGAACAAAGATGCCAAGCTTTACATAGCAAAGGGCAGTCTGAATGCTGACAACACCCATGGCAGCTGTCAAGATGATCGACAGGGTACCTTCTTCTGCTTACTACCATTCACAAAGTGACACCATGCAAGGGAAAACTACAGAAGTTGAGTCTTTTTTTTCATCAACAAATTTCAAAGCAATCGTCAAGACTGTTTTTCAACAAGTGGTGGAATGTATTTCAGATTTTGAATTGCCTTATGGAATGCTCAGTTGGATTTTTGCACAAAGTTTATTGCTACACGCTTATGCAGCAGTAATAACTATTTGGTGGATAGTAAGGCAGATGCTGTCTTGTTGCCATTTTGAGTTGGATGGGCAGATAATATTCCTCAAGGACTGGAGAGAGCATCAGTATCAGACGACCATAGAAACTGTTCTATGATAGTTAACATTTATAATCAGCAGGACTTATTGACATTTTCTACCTCTTGTGAAGCTTGAATGTATATATTGATCTGGGGGTGGGCGATCCATCTGTGCAGCTCACCTGGCTTCTCTGCAAAGCGTTTGAGTTTCCTGTATAAAAGACATGCCTCATCTGCTACCCCATTCCTCCCAGCCACAGGGAAAAGTAATTTGTTTTTGCATTGATTTCTCAAATGCACCTGCTTCCCTATCAGCTCTACAGGCTCACAGAGGGTGCCACAGGCATAACAGGAAAATGAAGGAAAAGCAAACAAAAAGCAGTATAAAATATTATGTGGCCACTAGATAATGGGCAGTCAGCAATTAAAAGGGAGCAAATTTTGAGAATATGTGAGTGTGTTAGGAGGAGAGACTAATTTACTAGCAAAGGATAAGAGAAACCTGCTATTAATCAATCATCTTTTTCTAGTCATTCTTCCGCAAAACCTCATAGCTAGTTTACTTGGACATGATCGTATAAGATAGCTAAGGGATGAACAGGTGTCACAAACTGTGCCAATTTTGGGGGCAAAAGTAAGGAGCTTGTTTGTGTAAAATCTGGATCTGAATTCTTGCTTGATGGTGAAACGTACTGTGGGACCCGTTGGTGACTTTCACACACTCCTTTCAGCATTGTTGCCAGGCCTGTTGTGTCTCACGAAGATCCTTGGGGGACATCGGCAATAGAAGTGTAAGAAATAGATTTTCTTGGCAGGTGCTCCATGAAACTCCTCAAAGCCCGTTCTTGGGACTGGGAATACATTTCACTGCTTTACCAGTTACCCAACAGTTCCCTAAAAAGACCAAGGGAATATATTGGCACGATGCAGGACGAAACCAGTGACACAAACTAGCTTTTCCTGCCTCAGAGGCACCTTTTGGGTTGGGGAGCCAATTGAATTTTCAGGTCATCTGCAGGATCCTTGTATTTATCATGGCTGTATTGAGGTGACTTGTTGATTACTGAAAAGCAAATGTTAGAATCACCGAGCTGGAAGAGACCCACAGGGGCCATCGAGTCCAACCCCCTGCC